TTTAAAGCTGGTCCTACAACCGCATCCAAGAATAACATGCAGCTTATCTCAGAACTGTCGGTGAAAATTATTCTTGGAGCTAGGTTTAATTGAGCTGCATTTTAAAGAGGTGCAATTTCACAATTTGTGTATATTTTCTAAGTTCACTATTTTGTCATGTGTTGAGAAAAACACAGATTTTAAAATTACATGGTCTAATATTTACATTTAGCATAACTGCAACATTATTTTTTCGTTTGTTTTTTTTAAAGACTCGAAAGGACTTGAAATTCAAAGTTTCAGACTTGTGACTTGACTCGGACTTTTACACCAGTGACTTGAGACTCGACTCTGACTTGCCTGACATTACTTGAGACTTGACTTGAGACTTGAGGATAAAGACTTGAGACTTACTTGAGACTTGCAAAACAATGACTTGGTCCCACCTCTGGCCATTATCCAATCACACATCTGCTTACCTGCATCTGTTGCTAGTTTCTCCTCCTCTTTTCTCTTTTTTCTAAACTGAGTACCTGATGGCTTTGAACTTTTCTTGTCCATCTTCCACTGGTTTTAATTTTGCACTCCAGTATGAACACAAATCCCCCAACGAGGATCACCACAACATAACCTAACAGACCGACACCTTAGTTCACAGATTCACTTTGTCTAAGGTGTGTTTCTGAGATTTCACACAACCCAGGATTCAAATCATGAATACATGATGGGCTTGGATTTACAACATTAAGAATGAAATGTGCAGAAAAATGCGCAGACATTGCTTTATATCGAGCACCGGCTGCCCAGTTAAACTGTGACTTTCACCAGGTCACGTAGGCGTGTTTCTTGAATTAGCAGCAGGTGTTAAACAGCTGACAGGTGAGGAGGAGGATGCAGGTAAACTGAGGGTCTGTTGAGCTGATCGCTGGTTTCGTGACAAACACGTCAGCTCGTTCTTTATGTTACAGAAGCACAGAGACACAAGAGCAGGCGGAAAGAGACGATCGTTCGGTGAAAACGAGAATCTGCGAATGCAACATGTGGAACACGGAGAGTGGAATATGTAAACAAACCGGTTAACGTACCCCCCCAAACAAACAAACAAACACAAAAAAACAGTTCAGCTGGAACACCGGGGCTGTGAGCTCGGTGCTCTCTGTCAGCTGACTGTTAGCAGAGCGAGTGACGTCTCTGAAAACATCTGAGCACAAACATGTTCTGTTGACAACCTGCCCAGACGTGACGATTACGCCACACCGCCCACTTAGTTTGATGGGTGAGGCTGACAGATAAAATGATTTCAAGATGAGACATGAAGGGGACAAAAGTGCCAAAATGAATTAAATAAAAAAAGTATTAAATAATTAATTAAAACTGTCAATAATTATTTAAATGTGTTATTAATTAATTAAATATGTCAATAATTAATTAATTACATGTGTCACAAATATTTATGTAATTAATTATTTCCAATTTTAATTAATTATTTAATGGTGTATTTAATGAATTCATTATGTCAGTCCTGCCATCTTAATATTATTAGATCTCAGTGCTGCTTTTGATACAGTAGATCGCAGCCTTCTCTCCAGACTGGAACAACACATTGGAATAAAAGGGATTATTTTGGAATGGTTTAAATCCTACCTATCTAATCGAAGCTTCTCTGTTAAACTCAGAGACTCATTATCCCCCAGGACCGTGCTTTCTTGTGGGGTCCCCCAGGGCTCTATCCTCGGCCCTTTTTTTAATCTACATGCTTCCGATGGGCTCAATTTAAAAAAATATATATCTCGTTTCATTGCTACGCAGATGACTCTCAGATTTACAGACGGAAATCTGTGAATCCTCTGTTTGATGGGTCTGTTTGATTGTCTGGAAGACGTTAAGGCATGGTTGGCGCTAAATTTTCTCAACCTAAATGAGCAGAAAACTGAATAAAGAATAAAGTTACCCTGAAACCAAGCACACCATTGTTTTTCTTGTGACATTACCAATAAGTGTGATGTGTCACATGGCCCTCTTCCTATTGAAAAAACAAAAGTTGTATCCAAGATGGCCGACTTCTAAATGGCCACCATGGTCACCACCCATCTTGAGGAGTTTGCCCCCTCACATATAATGTGCCACAAACAGGACTTTAATATCACAAACCATTCCCATGTTATTACGGTGTATCCATATAAATGACCCACCCTGTATAGTTAAGTACAGACTGAATGCTAGAGGATAAACCCAAAAGTCTGAATCCCGTACAGCCAATCATTTTCAGCGACGACTTCATTTTAACAGGGAGAGACCTCCAACAGAGCCGGGCTCAGGAGAGGCGGTCCTCTGCCACATCTGGTCGGGTTTGAGGGGAAAGATAAGAGAACAAAGGGGTCACAGAGAGAACACAGCCATACATGACAAAATACAAACTGAGAGAGAGTAGAAAAAATATTGTATTGAATACTGTCATATAAAATAAAATGTGTTATTTTCTTTTTTTGGCCAATAGTTTAAGGTGGAGGGCAGTTATTCATGGGGGTTTTAATGTGTACAGTTGCCTTGTGTGCCCCAATCAGCTCATTTATGAAATTTCATCAGTGCTGTGGTGCCCCCTCCAGGGGCAGGACAGACAGATGTCATTATGCACCACTGCACTCGCTGTGGTGTATGTGAACAACATGCTTGCACACGAGTGCATGGAGAGAGACAATCTTTACATGTTTTACCTCTTTAGTAACTTTTGCAACGTTACGGGTTGTATGAACGCTGTGTGTCATGTTAGATAAGCAGCGTAGGTCAGACAGCTATAGGTCAGTACTTCTTTAATTGGAAATAAGAGCTTTTACATGTCAAACACCACACAGAGACTTTCGTGTGTTTCAAAACCATCCCTGACTCTAACGGCTACGGAACAAAATCGTCTGGCATCACATTTATTCAAAACTGTTTTATCCATCTACTGCCATGTCTTTTGACAAGAACATCCACAAAACCATCGAGGTTTATGGCTCTGGCCCTTCTGGCCTGACTGCTTCACACCCCAAATTGATGAGTGGATTGTCACGCACTGGGTTCCTTAGGCTACGTCCACACTAATGCGTTTTTGTCCACACTGAGACGCTTTGGAAACGCTCTTGAAAACACATACATTTCAAAACGGAGCTGTCCGGTTGCAGTGTGGACACTCGAAAACACAGACGACGCATTTTAGTCATGTGATGCAGTCATGTGACCAATTAAACTAAGACAGCGGAGGGCGTTACACAGCAGTTGTTTTGATTGCTCTCAACTTTGACAGCCATAAAAAAATAATATCAGTCTGTACATGCTCCAGATAGCTTTTCAAATTCTTTAATTCTCACTCATTGTTGCGCAGGACTGGAACGTAAGCGTTTTGGGCCGTTTCAATGTGGACGCACAGCTCTGTGAAAACAACTGAAGACGATAATGTGGACACCGAGCGTTTTCAGACGAGAACGCCGTTTTCAAATCTACCCAGGCTAGTGTGGACGTAGCCTTAGAGTAGCTTTGATTAATTTTAGCAGTGAAAAACTGTGCTCACAAGCCGAGGCTGAAAGGTGACAAACAAAACGAGTTAGAGGGGTGGCCAGCGCCCCCCTATGGCCATCCCCCCTTGTTGGGGCCACTGTGTACGACCCCTACAGCATGAGTCCTGGAAAATCATGTTATCTGCGACTCTGTGACAGGTACTGATATTTTCTAAACATCAGTATTTCATCTGCTAAAGTGCATAACCAGTTATTCACTGCTACCTGTTCTTCAGTCAGCTGCCTCATCTTTACCAGTCCCAGTAATTATAAGGCATAGATGGAAAACATCTCATAAAATCAAACCAAACTCAGTGATCTAATTTCTGTGTGATGTAAACCTATTCCTCTTGAGCCCATCTCTGCTGCAGTTGTTGCCTTTTTTTAATCTAATAAATCATTCATGCATAACATTTTATCACAGCTCAGAAATGAGACTTTTCTTCTTCCTTGAGACTCAAACCAGGTGACTGTTGTCACGAGGGAGTCGCAGTGGTTTATAAGGACCATCTGAACTGTGTCCATTTAATCCTGGTTCTTTTAACTCCTTTGAATTATTAATCTATCAACCTCCCAAATCCTGCAAACATTCCCTGAATGAACTCTCTAATCTCCTGTCCTCTCCTCTGTTATGATTCATTTTGATAAAATCATCTTGGTAGGTGACTTTAATTTACATATGGATGATGCCTCTAACTACTCTGCCACAGAATTTCTTAAATTGCAAAAGCATTTAATTTTGTGCACATGTCTGATCATAAATGTAACATGAATAAACTGGTCCTGGGTGCTAAAGTCTCTCAATGCTGTGGGCTCCGCTGCAAACACAGAAACAGTTTCCTGCAGTTTCCAGTCTAACACTGAACACCAGAATGAAACCGCTGATGTGTGATATTATAGATAACAGTATAATATCACATCAGCGTGTACAGTCAGACTGGATGTAGGGAAGTCTCTCCCAGCGGATCATCTGTGACTCTATATCCGCCCGGTCACCGGCAGCCTGCGTGTGTTTACCGCCACCGAAATCTGCCTCCGTTAGAACCCAACTATCCCCGGCACTGCCGCTGTTTCACCGGGACTCTGTCCCCACGGGTCTTCGCTGACCGGAGCACCGAGATCACATTTCATCCGAACCGCTTTGGGTCACTTTAGGAGCAGAAATGTGGAGAAAGTTCGCTGCGAGCTGCTCCGAGAGGCGGTGTGTCAGAGAGGTTTGAAGCCTCCCGAAATTAACGGAAGAAGTCCCGAAGGGCAAAAACAGGATCAGACGGGAGACCGGAGAGTTTTCTCCCCGCTGCCTCGGAACGGGGGTTTCAAACGTTTATCTGGGGCCGGTTTGACCTCCGAAACGCGGCGAAGAAAACACAAGAAGAGCCGCGATTGTAGCGGCAGCAGAGCGGAGGGCTGGCTTCACTCTCCATGGTTCTCATGTGCTTGATAAGTCCCGCCTCCCGCGCGAAGCTCCGACATGCTCAGTACGAAGCTCACGCGCAGACATGGCAGAAGAAGCTCCCGCAGCTGCACCGGCGAAAGCCCCGGCCAAGGCTCCCAAGAAGAAGTCCGCTCCCCGGGCTAAGAAGGACGGACCCAGCCTCCCTAAGCTCATCGTCGCCTCGGTGACAGAGTCGAAGGAGCGCAAGGGAACGTCGCTGGCGGCCATAAAGAAGTACCTGACCGCCAAAAATGTGGACGTACCCAAGGCCAACAAACGTATCAACACCGCCGTCGCCAAGCTGGTGGAGAAAGGCATTCTCAGTCAGGTGAAGGGCACCGGGGCTTCCGGCTCCTTCAAGCTTGCTAAGAAAGAACCGAAAGTCGCGAAACCAGCGAAGAAGAAGGCTGCCAAGCCCGCGAAGAAGGCTCCCGCCAAAGCCAAGAAGCCCGCGGTGAAGAAAGTGGCCACCCCGAAGAAATCTCCGGCCAAGAAGGCTGCGAAGAAAGTGGTGAAGAAGAGCCCCAAGAAGGCTGCTCCCAAGAAGCCCAAGGCGGCAGCCAAGAAGCCCAAGTCCCCCGCTAAGAAGGCCGCTCCGAAAAAGCCCAAAGCCGCCAAGAAGCCCGCAAAGAAAACTGCGCCAAAGAAGGCCAAGAAGTAAAAGCTTCTCCCGCACCGAGTGCATCAAAGGCTCTTTTCAGAGCCACCACAGCCTCCGCTACGAGCTCCTCGTTCTGTGTGTGTGTGTGTGTGTGTGTGTGTGTGTGTGTGTGTGTGTGTGTGTGTGTGTGTGTGTGTGTGTGTGAGAGAGAGAGAGGGAGGGAGAGAGAGGGAGAGAGAGAGAGGGAGGGAGAGAGAGGGAGAGAGAGAGAGGGAGGGAGAGAGAGAGGGAGGGAGGAGAGAGAGAGGGAGAGAGAGAGAGAGGGAGGGAGAGAGAGAGAGGGAGAGAGAGAGAGAGAGGGAGAGAGAGAGAGAGAGGGAGAGAGAGGGAGGGAGAGAGAGAGAGCACGGGAGAGAGAGAGAGAGGGAGGGAGAGAGAGGGAGGGAGAGAGAGGGAGGGAGGGAGAGAGAGGGAGGGAGAGAGAGGGAGGGAGGGAGAGAGAGAGAGAGAGAGGGAGAGAGAGACTCAGCTTTACGGGAAATGCATGTTGAATTGTCAGAACATTAGAAACATGAGTTTCAGTCTTATGTCAATAAATACAATCTGATAATTAGCTAGGCAGTGATTCAATGATACTTTGAAACCTGAATTATTTCCCAGTCAGTGCTGCAAATATTTCCAGTTTATTCTGGTGCTGATGACAGGAGCTGATGAGTGCACTGAAGCTGTGGATGGCTTTGTTTTCTTGGTTTACTGGTTTATTACCTGCTGTTGTTTAAAGTTAAATTTGAATTAGCCCCCCACCCCCATCTCAAAGACCTCTGTAGACTTCACATAAGCACTGTGCAGTAACCCACACTCTACATGTATGTAACACTAATGTATTTTTATTTTTCCCGGTTTGTTCGTACATCTTATCTTTTTGAATACTGTTCATATGTGTAAAGTGCTGCTGAAGCTGTGCACCCCGCATGTGTGCAGTAGTAGGCGGCGCCGTCTCACTGTACATCTGAATAACAATAAAGAAGTTCTGTTCTCTGTCTCGCGCTTCATTTTGAACATTTTCGTCCAATAGCTGAGCAGCTGCGGTGCGCGCGCTACCAGATCTGGACCAATCAGCGCTGAGCTCCCGCCTGCAGCCCCTGTATAAAGCCGCTGCTCGCGCTCAGACTTCATTCTCTCTTTCGCTGTTCACACAGAGGAGCCCGAAGCTGTAAGATGGCCAGGACCAAGCAGACTGCCCGAAAATCCACCGGAGGAAAAGCTCCCAGGAAGCAGCTCGCCACCAAGGCTGCCCGTAAAAGCGCCCCGGCTACCGGAGGCGTGAAGAAGCCCCACCGTTATAGGCCCGGGACTGTGGCTCTCAGGGAGATCCGCCGCTACCAGAAATCCACCGAGCTGCTGATCCGTAAGCTGCCCTTCCAGCGCCTGGTCAGGGAGATCGCTCAGGACTTTAAGACCGACCTGCGCTTCCAGAGCTCCGCCGTCATGGCTCTGCAGGAAGCTAGCGAGGCTTACCTGGTCGGTCTGTTCGAGGACACCAACCTGTGCGCCATCCACGCCAAGAGGGTCACCATCATGCCCAAAGACATCCAGCTGGCCCGCCGCATCCGCGGAGAGAGGGCTTAAGCTGATCTGAGATCAGTTTACACAAAACACAACGGCTCTTTTAAGAGCCACGTACACGCACTCGGAGCAGCGGTTTACAGCACAGACTATGTATTACCTGGCCCTCAGCTAAGTGCTGTTTGGAGTCTGTTGCTCACTAACAGAGCATGCAGTGTGGGTTAGTATTGATTGTACTGTATTACTACACAGGTGTGTAGCGGACAGGAAGTGTAGCGGTGCAAGCCCACAGACCGCGTCAAGCACAGCTGCGTTTGAGTGGTTACAGGACTGCAGAGTTCATAAGCAGCTGGATGGAGACACTGAGGTTTCAGCTTGGAGGACAAAGTTTCACTGAGCCAGGCTTTAAACCTCATGATCTCCCTAAGTGTTTTATATGAACACGGAAGTTTGGGGAGGGGGAGAAAACTAAAGCTCCAGTTCAATATAAAATAAACCGTCCTGCATGGCAGAGATGTGCAATAAGAACCGAGCCATGGCTCAGTGTCTCGCAGCCTCAATGTGCACTTCAAGTCATTTATAATTAAATGATCATTGTAACCTGTTTGATCTGCTGCTCAGACGTTTTGCTCCATATCCAATCATTAAACTGCTGTTAAATAAAAGCAGGCCGGGCAAAGAGCTACCAGAACTTTCTGTCATTTCAGTTATCACTGCCAATTAGGATGAAAGTGTGGATTAGTGCACTGTCGTTATGGTTTACATCAGGGGTAGGCAACTGCAGGCCTCGAGGGCCGGTGTCCTGCAGGTTTTAGATGTGTCCATGATCCATCACAGCTGATTTAAAGGGCTAAATGACTCCTCAGCATTTCTTGGAGTTCTCCGGAGGCCTGGTAACGAACTAATCATGTGATTCAGGTGTGTTGACCCAGGGTGCGATCTAAAACCTGCAGGACACCGGCCCTCGAGGCCTGCAGTTGCCCACCCCTGGTTTACACAATCTGTTCATATACGATCAAACTGCAGCTCACAGCTACGGGGGAGCTTGTTAACTCCAGCCATTGGACCATTTCCCACACCCAGAAACAAACTACACTCTTTTCATACTGCCGACACTGTACTCACTTTTAATCAGTTTTTTATTCACCTTTCAGTCACTTTAATTTGAAAACTGTCTATACTGTATATTCTGTGCATTTATTATCTCACTCCTGTTGCCTGTTTATGCCCCGCCCTTATCTTCAGCGTCATGCTGCTCTGGTGTGTCTTAATTGGCCCTGGGGAATAAACAAAGTCTCTGTTTCTGGCAGCTGCGGCGTCCTGGGCTCTGCAGTCCGCTGTGCGGCTCTCGAAGGACCGTCATTATCAGCCGAGCCTCTCCCGGAGCTTCCGTCGGCTGTCTCGGTCTTTGTGTGATGTTGTAACTCACACATGGATCAATGTTTGTCTGCACACGTACTGAAGCAACACATTTAAATCTGCTCTTCCGCACTCCCGATAAATGTCCCACAGCCCCGTCAGCAGGTTAAATAAAGCACTGCTCTTTTTCTTCGTTGTGCGATTTACCCAGTAAAGACGCGGAGCAACAGCTCGACCAATGACAGGCGCGGATCTGCACAGCCTTATTTGCATACAGTGGAAATAAAAGAGCCGCTCTGCGCTGACGGGCACATTCTCTGCTGGGAAGTAGCGACGAAGGAAAATGCCTGAACCCGCAAAGTCCGCGCCCAAGAAGGGCTCCAAGAAAGCCGTGACCAAAACCGCCGGCAAGGGCGGCAAGAAGAAGAGAAAGACCAGGAAGGAGAGCTACGCCATCTACGTGTACAAGGTGCTGAAGCAGGTGCACCCCGACACCGGCATCTCCTCCAAGGCCATGAGCATCATGAACTCGTTCGTCAACGACATCTTCGAGCGCATCGCCTCTGAGGCCTCCCGCCTGGCTCACTACAACAAGCGCTCCACCATCACCTCCAGGGAGATCCAGACCGCCGTGCGCCTCCTGCTGCCCGGTGAGCTGGCCAAGCACGCCGTGTCCGAGGGCACCAAGGCCGTGACCAAGTACACCAGCTCCAAGTAAACTGCAGCTCTGCTGCATCCACCCAACGGCTCTTTTCAGAGCCACCCACCTCTGCCGAGGAGCACATGTCCTGCTGTGACACTCACTGGTCCTGTTATAAACTAGTGATGGGATTTCCGGTTCTTTCGGTTCGGCTCATTAAAAAGAGCCGGCTCTTTTGGCTCCGAACCGGCTCTTCAGGTTGTTTTGTTGCTTTAATTAATTTATTATTAACAATAATATAAACTTATGCACAAAAGGAATTACTAATGTAAAAAAAAAGTGGTTTTATTTATATATGTTTATATATAAATATATGCGGTGGCCCCTAGAGACAAAACACGTACAAACTCCAAAACACATTTCTAGCATGAACTGAACTTCCAAAGCAGAGCTACTAGATCACTTAAATTACACAATTGAAAGCATGTGTGTATTGTTTGTGTATTTATACACAGGCACTCATATATATATTCAAATAATTTAAAAAAAAGTTCATTTACCTGTTACTACCACACACCAAATCCGGTCGTTGGTACTTCCTGGCTTGTGTAGCCACAAAATAACAAAGGCTCAACACTGCGCCCAGCATCCTGGAGCACTTCTGTTGTCTTTTGTACGTGTTTTGAGTTTTTATGTGCTTCTGAGTTTTTACGTGTTTTGGAGTTTGTATGTGCTTTGTCTGTAGGGGCCACCGTAAATATACTTTTATTTATTCACTCCACATAAAATGTAATAAATAAATCATATAATACAAAAATCAACTATTCACATTTCAACTTTTAACTATTTAAATTTTCAGCTTTTTCCTTTCACAAATTTAAAGTGAAAAGAACACAAAACACTGCAAACCACAACACAATTAAATATAAATTATAATATGAAAACTAAAAGAACATGCATATTCTCTGTCATATGGACCTGCATGAATAAACTTTCTCAATCCTTTATCATCTGCAACCGAAAATAGTTGTGGATGATTACTATACCTTTCTAATGTTGTTGTCCCTGCCTCTCTTTCTCTCTCTCTGGCTCTGTTCCTGTGCTACTGAGTGTAACTACCGCCCCTCCCCCCTCTGCCCAGCGTAAAGCACAAGGCTCGCGTGCAGAGTGAAGCGGGAAAAAAGTGCGAGAGAGAGGCTGAGAGAAAGAAAAAAAAAAAACCCCACGTGACGGCTCGCGATAAGGAGCCGGCTCGCGTCGTTCACGTCAAAGATCCGGCTCTAAGAGCCATTTCGTTCGCGAACGACCCATCACTATTATAAACACATGTTTAACACGTGTAGTGGGGAACATGTACAACAGTTTCAATAAACCGAGCAGCACTGATCGAGGCTGTTATCTCTGATCATTTATCTAATAACACTTCCCCCGCGTCCCTCGTGCGCACCCGTTTCCTGCAGTGTGATGGCATTTCCGGATATTTCAGCTGCGGAAATGACCAGTTTTCATCTCCAGACGTAACAACACATAATTACAGGTGAGCTACAATATAAGAGGAGATTTCACAGATTGTCCCGCCCGTGACTTTATGTATTTGGTGGTTTAGAGGTCTGAGCCTGACTTAAAGGGCCGGAAGTTAATGGTAGCTAACTCATGTCGCACCTGCAAAAACCCTTTGCAGAGCTTTATTAGTTCTGGTTATGTGGGTGTAGTTCATCTGCTTTATATTATGTCACAGCTGTGCCCCTCCACCCGCTCTGTGAAATGGATGGATGGTATTATGACACTAACGCTAATCAGTTTTCCTCATGGAAAATGAGTAAACAAAGGCTGTATCTAGGGCTGGGTTTTTATAATCGATTTATCGATTACAATCGATTCATTAAAATCCTGAATCGATTTAATATAAATTTATTTTGCCCGAAATGCCAGAATCTCTGGTGACATCTCACAAAATTTCAACAACCACCAATGAGAGCAGGAACACAGATTCTGCACAAAGACTAAACCCGCGGATCAGAATCAGTTAATGTCGCCTTTCTCACAGTCGGGGCTGAAAGCCGACAGCTCGCTGATTCTGATGTGTCGGCGGGTCCGCGCTTTGTGTTCACGCCCTTTATGCGCCGATTCTAAAGCTGTTAGTTTATCTCCAAACAACATTGACTGAACCAGCAGCAAAAGAAGATCCAAACTTCACATAAACATCGTCATGAACTCACTCTGACTTTTGCTGTTTTGCTTCCATCACGATGCACAGCTCCCTCTCTCTGTACTTCAAGAACAGTTTCCCGTCTAAAAATCAGTTTTCTTCATTATTCGCTTGCTTGTTACGCACAGGTCTACTGTTGTTTACAGGCTGTCAGCCGCTGTTTTTTGTTGTTTTTTTTGTTTTTTTTTCCTTTTACTAACTTCCGAAAAGAAAACCTAATTTCTGCTGTTCAATACTGAACAAATTTAGACTTTTTAAAATTATGCAAAATGCAAAACGCTGTGTCTGTAATAAAACCGCTGTAACATCAGAGGTAACGTTCATATGCTGATTAATGGTTTTCTTTCGTTTTTGATCTACTGCAGAATATTTTTATAAAATCCAGGCCAGGAAAACCTTCATCTTTTTCTGTTTTATCTTCAGCTACTTTGACACAAAGGCCTCGCTGTGACGCTCACACCTGTGATAAAGTCTTGCATGTGTCAGCTTCCTTTTTATAGATACAAAAATATGTAAATGTGCTGATCTGAATTATAATATTTCTGACTGTCAAAATTTCCCAGATTCAAATCGAATCGAATTAAATCGTATCGTGGATCGAATCGATTCGGGACCTTGTGAATCGGAATTTAATCGATTCTAGAAATCAGTGATGATACCCACTCCTAGCTGTATCCCAATCCAGGGTCTGCAGCCTGAAAGGCCGCATTTTAATTACGTAACTGCGACAGACGAAGGCTGTCCCAATTCAAAGGCTGCTCGAAATGCGGCCCTCAAATGCGTCCTTCATTTCCCTGAATTTTAAGGACGTGGCGGTGTAGACTTCGTGGCCCAACATATCCCAGAATGCATAGCGTGGCGGTGGGTGTGGATAATTTTGCCGAAAAAAAACGGCAGATGAGGGGCAGCCGAAGAGTAAACTTTAAGTACTGAATATGATGTCACTTATTGATGTTTAATAACGAAGAACATTAAACATTCCTGTTGGCCACATGTCGGCAAAGTCATGTGACATTAGTGACGTTTGTACTAACTTGATTTTAAAGCCTTTACTTTCAAATATACGCCGTTCAATAGCTGAGCTTAATCAGAGAATGATCAAAGCTCATGTAGAAACAAACAAATGAACAAAAGATTTTCTCCTTCATCTCTGTCAAACACAGCTGTATGACACGTTTCCAGCTGTTAGTATCATGGTTGCTAGGCAACCTGGGCAGCGCGACGGAGGCTAGACCGCCCATTTCACAAGCCTCGCACTTGCGGCCTTAGCGGTCTTTGAGTACGCGGCCCATGAGGACCGTTAAGGCTGCAGACCCTGAATTGGGATACAGCCATAATTCATGTCACAGCAGATGAGGACAGACGTCCTCCTTCAGTCAGGAAGTTAACAAGGTGACCGAATGACAGACAGGTGAGGACACCTGAGAGAGTGAGGGGTGGAGTCCCAGCTGGGTCTCCAGGTGTACGAAACTCGTACAGCAATGATGCTAACAGTGAGATCATGATCATGTCTGATTCACAGCACATTAGAGGGCCTGGCCCATCCATCAGCTGCACAAACACGTCAGATCTTCAGTGTAAATTCTGCTGTAATCAATCATTTTATTTTTCTTCTCTTTTAAACAAACGCCTCCAAAACTAGAGCAGAGGGCTGGTCTGCCACACCTGAGCGCCTTCACACTGCAGGGGGACAGGAAGACAAACCTTCAGCCATGTGGTGAAGCTCACTGACCTATGACCCAGCATACTGTCCCTGTGTCAGTGTCCACTTCAGTCATGGGATACAAGCGGTGGAACAAAGCCCCACGTACATGCAGTGATGCGTGGAAGGAACATGAGTGAGGAGGAAAGCATCTTTACCCAAACTAAAGAGCAGAGCAGGAATACAGCAAACACACCTGTAGCTGTTAACTGAGCCTAAATATTGCAGGTCACAGACCGTCCACGGTGCTAGGTGTAGGCTGCTGGGGCATTCCCATGATGCAGTGGGTGTTTCTTCTTCACTATTAAGTCTTCATAGACCTCTGTGTACTGAATCATCCTGGTTATTAATAGTTTTCTCTTCCACAGCGTGTCTTTATCCTGTTGTCCTTCCCTTATATGGAATCTATACTTTAATAAACATGAGCTCATCTTAAAGCAAACGTTCAGATCATAGCAGTGTCAAATGTGCAGCACAGGATTGAAACAACAGGATCAACATGGAGACAAATCAAATTCAAATTTTATTTCAAATTCAAATTTTATTTGTCACGTACACAGTCATACACAGTACGATATGTAGTGAAATGCTTGGACAACTGCTCGTGACCTAAAGAAAACAAAAAAGGAAAAGGCTATGAATAAGATAGGAAATAAATATGAAAAATTAAAAAGGGTAAATTTAACTAGGAAGGAATAAAATATAAATTAAGGTTAAAAATGAAATAACTGTACAACACAAATTAGAATGAAGGGTAAATTTAACTGGGAGAATAAGATAAAATATATAAATTAAAGTTGAAAATAAAATAACTGTACAACAAAATACACAATATGGAACTATATAAGAATGTATGAAGAAATATAAATAAATATATACACAATAACAGCAGCTGTACAAGTATTAACCGGAAATGAAGAATATAGTGTCCAGTGTTGTGCAAAACCAAAGTCCAGAAAGTCCAGTGTGTGTAAGAACTATATGTGTGGGTCAGTACTGTGTGGTGGTGTGATTGAGAGACCGTATCGCCTGCGGGAAGAAGCTCCTCCTCAGTCTCTCTGTGTTGGTCTTCAGGGAGCGGAATCGCTTTCCTGACCTCAACAGAGAGAACAGTCTGTTGTTGGGATGGCTGAGGTCCTTCACCATCTTCCTGGCCTTGGTCCAGCACCGCCTGCTGTAGATTGAGTGCAGGTCAGGGAGCTCGGAGCGGATGGTGCGCTCAGCTGACCGCACAACCCTCTGTAGAGCTCGTCTGTCCTGCATGGTGCTGTTCCCGAACCAGGTTAAGATGTTTCCCGTCAGGATGCTCTCTATGGTGCAGGAGTAAAAGTTCCTGAGCACCTTGGAGGGCAGTTGGAAGTCTCTCAAGCGTCTGAGGTGGTAGAGACGCTGTCGGGCCTTTTTCACCACGGTGTTGATGTGACAGGACCATGACAGGTCCTGCGTGATGTGAACTCCGAGGGTGTGTCTGATGTGTTAACATTGTGACTAGAGATAAATATGTGAACACAAACAGCCGCGGGTCTTCTGGCCTTTGCAGTGTGACTGCATCCTTTATGACCCGTCACAGGAGTTGATCGTTAGCTACAGACGCTCCGCTGGCTCACTGTGTGGTTTCAACACTTACACACAGGTTTGTGTCACAGCTGCTTTTGGTTGATTAAAGTGAAGAAACGTTAACCCAGAGCGGGTCGGACCAGTGAGTCCGGGCTGTGACCCGCCGTAGTTCATTTAAGGTCGTACTGCTCTCAGATGTTGTGTGTGGCCCTTAAAAGAGCCGTTATTATCAGCGCGCTTCTCCCGGAGCTTCATTTCGCCTTCTCAGTCTTCTTGGGCAGCAGCACGGCCTGGATGTTGGGCAGCACGCCGCCTTGAGCGATCGTCACTCCGCCCAGCAGCTTGTTCAGCTCCTCGTCGTTGCGGACGGCCAGCTGCAGGTGGCGGGGGATGATCCTGGTCTTCTTGTTGTCGCGGGCGGCGTTTCCGGCCAGCTCCAGGATCTCAGCCGTCAGATACTCCAGCACAGCCGCGAGGTACACCGGGGCGCCGGCACCAACACGCTGAGCATAGTTACCCTTCCTCAGCAGCCTGTGGACACGGCCCACCGGGAACTGCAGCCCGGCCCGGGAGGACCGGGACTTCGCCTTCGCTCTGGTTTTTCCGCTCTTTCCGCGTCCAGACATCTTTGTAACTGACTTCGTGCTATTCCCGCGAGAACATGGACTCCGGCAGAGACTACGCGTTTATATAATCACCTGCTGCTCGCTCATTGGTCAGGCTGAGAGTAAGTCTAATCGTCCAATCAGGAACGAGCAGCACTGCGGTTTCTTTGGTTTTTGCGTTGTGTGATTTTCAAAATAAAAACGAAGTATTTCATTTTTATATGGATGACAATTTTAAGGCAAACTACGTCAAACACATCAGTATTTACAGCCTAAGGTACTTTACCATGTTCATCCAAATGGAGAAAATCAACTGCACATAAAAACACAAAAATATATAATAACAAAACCCCCACAAAGGGTGTAAACGAACAAAGCCCACAGGACACAGCAAACAGCTCACTGTGCTGGTCGAGGTGAAGAGTCGTTACAGCAGGACTGAGTCTGTGAACCTGGCCACAGTGCTGAGGAGAAATCCGGGGTGGTTTTTATTTTCTCCCATCAGTCATGAACTGTAAGAAGTTAATGTTAAAGCACAAATCACAAAAATGCACAAATATAATTAATTTGCAATTATAAAGTTGTTTGTGAGCCACAATATTCCACAACGATCATCATGTTGATTTTATCCTAGCAGCATTTCCTCCTGTAAAATAACAGAAGTGTCATATTTTGTCAGTTTATCAGTGAATTTTTATTTAAGTAAAAGAGTAAAATAACATTCATATCTGAGCTCTTTTCTCTTCTTTTACTTTGAAGCGTACTAATACTAATATCACTCCGCTGCCTCTCACGTGCGATTGGCTGGACCTTTCCAAGTCCGACAGAGCATGCGCAGTAACGTGTTTGGTCGTTTCAGTTCGCTGTGGTTTCATCAGGAGTATAAACGCCTCTTTTCTCAATTTCAGGCTCATTATTTATCCTTTGCTGTTCTTTTTCCGGATGTAACTGTCCCTGAGACAGTTAAAATAAAGTTGGTTATTTCATGTTTCTGTGATAGATTCATGCTTAATTTAGTTCATTTATTTATAAGATAAGATGATAAAAGTGTAACATTAATTAAAAAACATGTCTAAAATATGTGATTACAAAATATGGGTTCGTTAAATATGTAAAGTGCTGTAAAGTTTGTAATTGTCACATGACCAGAGTTTGGTTGAGAGCACAACCATGGCATTGTGGAGCTAGCATGGATACATGGCTACAGATGCATCTACAGCCTCAGCGTTAATGTTATTCTGCATGTGGTCCAAGAGGCGCACACGGTATGGTTTCATGTATATTGTTTGTATAATGTTGCATACGTGTTCCACACTGGTAATGAGAGGACATTTTTGTGATATCCATTATTCTGCATTTTTCTGTTCTGCTTGCACAAGACTGTTTATGGACACTGATATGAGAGACTGTGTGGTATCGCAAGAAATAAGTGGTTATATAAATATATGAGTATACATAATAGTTATTATTCATAGATACCTACATCCTAAGTTCCTGTTATTCTTCTGAAAGAAACAGAATGAATGTGTTGTTACAATGGTAATGCCAGGAGAGGCAGTATTAGTTCTGTGTTACATTAATGTGTAAGGAAGTGGAAGAAGTGTGTGTCCTGTAGGAGGCAGTAGAAAAATGGATGCTCATGTTCTGTACATGCCCTGAAAGAAAGGTTCAGTAAACCAGTGCAACGATACTCCGGTGTAAGGCTCAGTTATTGTATTTTTATTAAGCTCAAAACATTTATGTTGTAAACTTTGTGTTTCTTCAGTTTTCACGGTGTCTGAAGACAATAAGAGTGAGAGAGAAATAAATTTCCGAAGACATCAGTATGATGCGTGGCCATTCTTTGTTGGACCCCTGTAGTTACACCGGAGCTTCCTGGAAAAGTCACGTTTTTCGTTGTGGTCTAACCAATCAGCAAATATCACTGTGCTGTTCCCTGCAAGCTATTGGCCGAGTTGTACTGACACGGATTGCATATGGATTTTATGAAATGGCCCGAACCACGTTTTGCTTTGATGTAAAACCATTTGAAAGAAACACATCAAAAATAATCAATTAGCAGTTAAATAAACACATGATAATCGATAATAATTAACCCATAAAAGTATTTTATTTATTAGATGAATGAGTTTAATTTACAGTGAGGTCACTTATTACAACAACAGAAGTATGGAAATATAAATAAAGTACAAATAATCATAAATAAACGTGTTAAGATTGTAGATTCAACGTTTTGATTAAAAATCAAGTTGTTTTTAAGAAGTTTGGATTTTTTTCTTTTTACACTTTTTGTTCTAAAATAAATATTTCAGTATTAGTGTTTTTAGCTGCAGTACCTCAGACGACCACCAGGCGCAGCTTTATACAATAAAAGTCTTTAACTAATCAGTGATGTCAGACCTTCACAATAAGAGCCCTTTATGACCAACTACTTTGACTTTGAGTTAAGAGACCTTCAGAATAAAAGTCTTTAAAAACAAACAAAAGATAAATTGTGAAACAAAATTACGTTAAGAGCTTTAAGAAGATTTTCTTAAGAAGTTTTAGAATTTCCTTAAGAAACCAAAATATTCATGTTTGTATTTTATTTTGTTATTTTCCTGAAAAACTCATTCTCAGTCCAGTCCAGCAGGGGGCGTAACGAACGTTTAAGCTGGTCTGTGAGCAGGAAGAAGAAGTAGTAGGGTTAAATAAGCATTAAATGTTTTACAGTTTTTTCTGAATGCTTAAACCCTAACTGTGATTCCTGTAGCACAATCTCTAAAACTATTCAGACTTATAGCAAAACCACTCACTGAGTTTGCAAAACTAAAAGCACAAAAACTGCTTTGCACTCAGTTTGCAATTTTGTAACACACACTTTGCAAAACTGTAGGCACAATTCACTGCACAACACTCAATTACCAAATTTCCAACACACTCCTAGCAAAAGTATACACATGTATGGCTATCATTAACACTAATCTGCCAACTGTCTGGCACACTGTCACATGTGAAAACTTTCTTAGATAATTAGTTCACTTTGCAATCAGCCTAAGCACTATAATACAGGTAAGCTGTGTGTGCGGAGTACAATGGAGGGAGCAGGAAGAGTGAGAAGTAGAGGAGGCCGAGGAAGAGGACGTGGAGGTGAAGAAATAGGATGAAGAGGACGACAAGGAGGAGCAAGAGGAAGACGAGGAGGGGGAGAGGAAGATGAGGAGGGGGAAGAGGAAGGGTAGGAAGAGTAAGAAATAGAATTGCTGATGACATCAGAGCTACAATAGTGGACCATGTAATCAACCGTGGAATGACCCTGAGGGTAGCTGGCCAACGGGTCCAGCCTAACTCGAGCCGCTACACTGTAGCAAGCACCATAAGGACATCTTGAAATGAGAATCGGTGAGTACAATCACTTCGCACAAAGATCTGTAGCACTGCCATATGCCAATGAGAAACACACCAATACCATTGATGTAAAAATACTGAAATTGTTACTTTACAGAATTGCTAGATGACCAGATGCTGGGGCAGAGGAAGCATGTTCACTGCAGACCAAGTAACCCATATAGTCATTATGGCGATTGCAAATAATCCTATACTTGGAAATAAACACTTGTGTTTGTTTTGATGTGTTTGAATAAACACCAGTACTTGAAGTTTGGATCCCTCTATGCTTATGGATCTATGACAGCAGTATGAGCTCAAACTGACATAGCCTACCTTGTGCACAGAGAAAGCAAAAGCCAGATGTGTTTTGTATTCATACCATCAGTGTGCAGTTGGCGCATTGTGTGCTTAGTAGATGATGGCTTGTGTGTACTGTTTGATACGGAAACACCATTTTTACGAAGGTGTGAGGAGTTAATCTAGCTGTGTTTGCTTTTGCAAGAGAACTACAATGTTTTGATGATTGGGTGACAGGTTTTCTTATTTGTGTGAAGAGTTTTGCAAAATTAGCCAATAGTTACAAAAAATGTGCTTAAGCAATCAGAAAAAACTGTAACTTTGATTTATTTGAATAAAATAAATACCTCGTCAATAAGTGAATAAATAAAATGTTTACTTTTTTAACATCTGTGCTGTTTCTTTTTTCATTTTTTCCATTAAAACAAAGTTTTTGTTTTAGGAGAAATTTGGATTTATTATCTTAATGTTTTGATATGAAAAAAAGAAGCAGGATGCTTGGATTTTCACATTAAAGGTTTCGTGCTGAAGTCTTAAGTGTCGTGGACAGCCGTGAACTGCCAGAAACCCACCGCATGTCGCAACATTGTGTTTGTAGCAGGTGAGGAGCTCCACCCATGTTCAGGTCCGGTCGTCACACCTGGGCGGAAAGAGCGTTTTGTGCATTCAGTGTTTTTAAAGCCACTTCCTGTTAACAGCAGGGAGGGGCGTTGACATCTGAGGCTGCTGCTAGCGTTCCAGATTCCTGTGCGGCTCAGACAGAAGCATCCCCGTTCATTGACGTCCCTCGTCCCACTCCCATGCTCCGCCCCGTCCCGGCTTTTTTAGCCAGTGTAGGCCGCGGACTCAGCCGTCCTCGTTCCGCCACCGATCCAGGGAGGAGGTCTCTGTCTGAGGAGGAGGAAGACGGCCACGGCAGTGGGCGGAGCCTGGATGTGACGCAGAGCGGACTTGGGCTGACGGAGGACAACGTCTGCTGGCTGCCATTCATGAAGGACGAGTTGTTGGAGCCCTGATGGCCACGGTAGTTGTAGTACGCCTGCCAATCCTGACGCTTCCTCTTCCAGCGGCAGCGCAGGATTCGGATGAAGGCCTGAGGACAGGAAGCAGAGAGGAGGAGTCAGCTGGACCTGCAGGAGGACAAGGAGGCGGAGCTTAAACTGTTACCTGTTTAAACTCGCGGCTGTAGCACGGGTAGATGATTGGGTTCAAGCAGCTGTTGAAGTATCCCAACCAGAAGATGACTTTGAAGAAGGTTTCAGGAGGACGCAGGTTGCTGTTGAATGAGCCTGAGCACAAACAAACAAACAAACAAACAAACAAACAAACAAACAAACAAACAAACAAACAAACAAACACAAAGCTTCAGGTGAGACTGCTGCACTTCTGTCTTGCTTTACAGGGGACATGATGAGCCCTGCTCTCAGACACTCACACAGATGCAAGTCTGTTTGTGACGCTGGGTTTAACAAATAAATGTTTAAAGTTTTAAAAACATCATCAGTGCAAACGTGATGTCATGTGATTGGTTGGTTGTGGCTAACATTAGTTCATGTTAGCTAACTAGTGACAGAACTGATACCTCAGAGGTAAATAAGGACACAGAAACTAAACATCAGTGTGGGAGGATCACTGTAGTGCTGCAGCAGTGAGTTCATGTTAAACCAGGACATCCCGTCCACTCCACTGTAGCAGGACGTGGCTGTTCACTGTTTAGTTAGCTGCACTCAAGCAGGAAAGTCTCACTAATCCGTCTTATTTGGTAACAAAGTCTAATTTTAAACACTTTATGAGCCTTTTTTTGTTAAACAAATGAAGTGTGTGACCATTCGTACAGATGGATGCAGATGTTTGTTTCCCATCCAAATTGAGTAATCGATCAGAGTCAGCTGATCAAACGTGTTATTCCAGATTCAGGTGTACAGACAAAAATCCAGGTGTTAAACCATCAGTTCAGTGTTCAGACCCTCAGACAGACGTCAGGAGGAAGATGGACTCTGATAAAGAACCTGAAGCTGTGTGAAAGGAGGATGAACCGAAGCAGGAATTTTCTTATTCCTTAAATAAAAATAATTTTTATTTTGACTTCTGCTCGTTTTTCTTTGAAAGGACGTTGACTTTTGTTCCTGGTGGTGTAGAGAAAAAGCTGCAGGACAGAATTATGACCAGCAGAGGGCAGCGTTCACCACAACACAGCCCTGCAGAGCTGCATCAGAGGAGGAGAAGGAGGAAGGCTGAAGCGCAGACCAATCAAAGCCCTCACAAACTAAACACTCGAGTGAAACTGGGGCTGCAATTAAACCAAAGAGTGACGAGCTCTCGACCCCCACACCTCCACCTCCGTCTCCACCTGCACCTCAACAACAGGCTAAGTTCATGCTGGCATCTCATCAAGTCAGAGAACTAAATCAGCTTCATTATAAATGACATGATCATCGGTCTCTGTGCAGGTGTGAGCTCCAGGTGTGAGCTCCAGGTGTGAGCTCCAGGTGTGAGCTAGGAACCATTTAAAACCGACACCAGTAAAAACTTGGCAGCTGTGGACAAATCAGGTTTGAGGTTCAGTGAGAGCGCAGACATCACGTCTGTTTTTATTATTTTATGATCACACATTAAAGCCTTGCTGACTCCTCCTCCTCTCTCAGGTGGAGGTGATCTCCTGGTGTCAGAGGATTCTAGAGGACCAGATTGTTGCTGCTGAGGCGGCCTCCTCAGACTTGTAAGGTGATCCTGCAGCCGACTGACTGAAGTTTAGAACATGTTGCAGTTTCCCATGATGCACCTCTGTGCTGCAGGAAGCAAAACTCCTGGTCTGGTGATGGTTCAGGTTCCAGACACTCTTCTTCTTTGGTTTCTGATCACTGTCCACATTAAAGCGTAGCGTCTTTTTGCTGTTTCCTGTTGTGGATGCGAGCGCGCTGAGGAGGAACCAGAGAATCTCACGTTTCTGCTGTGTTTATAAACGTGTCTCTGTGCTCCAGCTGAAGCATCATCCTCCCGCGCTGTGAGCCTCTCTGAGCGCGCTCAGCAGCGTCTGTGAGGGGCGGGGTTGCCCCCTCTGCTGATTTAGTGCAGATGATGACTCAGCACGGAGCTGATGCAGCGTGACGAAGGTCAGCAGCTTGGAGCCAGGGAGCGCTCGCAGCGGGCGGCGGTCTCTGACAGTCGTGGGTCCCGCAGCAGGTATTCAGGTTAAACATGAAGTTTCTAATAATCAGCCCAAGTCTCCAAACACTCATGATGTCAGACAAAGAAGGATTATTATGAACAGAGCTCACATTCATTCACTGACTTCATCTACAGGTGGGTTAGGGTTAGGTTAGCTCCCTGCTCCTCCTCAGAAGTCTGAGCTCTGAGGAGGAGCAGGAAGTTCTGCTGTGACTCCGGTATGAAGACATCACTGAGCCATATTTAACCGGACGAGGTTCGACGGATGTAGAAAAGCGCAAAGTCGTGGACGGCTCGTGTGTCTCGGGAAAACAGCGGCGGGTTAAATTGGGCTCGTCCAATCCTGCAACTGTTTCTCTGAGACTCAGCGGATCAGAGGCTCGCGGCCCAAAGTAAGCCACCGCTGTCTGTCTCTAATGAAACCCATGGCGGTCCAGAGGTCACCTGAAGTCAGCGGGATTGTGGGAAAGGCTCGGTGTGATTGGCGGGCTCTTTGAGATAAGTCAGTGTTATTGAGAGAGTTACAGCCGAGCTGAGGCGGATCAACGGGGATTCCTCCAGCAGCCTTTTTAGGAGGTCTGAGTCCTTCCACTCCGCGGCGCTCGGAGGCCCGACGACCTCCTTATATGCACCGCCGCTGTGAACGCGTGACACCTCAGAGCTGCACTCTCAGAGAGGATGCTTCATTACTCATCTGTTTAAAGTTTGTATTGTTAGGGGCGTGGCCACCTGTTACTGACAGGTGGCTGTTAGCTGTCTGCTAGCTTCACCTGAGCTGGAGCTCTGGACATGTTTGTGCTGTTGGAACCTTTTTAATGACATCATGTGACCAATAACATGGCTGCTGTGACGTTACTGTAGTAACAGAGCGTCTGAGGAGGCGGAGACAGGGTTGTGGTAAAATTAGCAGGTATCTGTGTTTGTGTGTGTGTGTAGACCAGGGGTAGACCGAGCTAACTAGCATTAGCTGATAACTTCACTGTGGTCACTTCTTGAAACGAGAGCCCAACATGGAGGCTTAAAAATGTGTAAAACAGCAGGTGAGTCTGACACAGGTAAATTACAGCCTCGTGTAAGTGTCAGATGTTCTGTTTACATCACTTCCTGTTTTTAAATCTTCAGATTGATGAGTTTGAATAAGTCCACAGAGCAGACTGGACTAATGTTCAGAGAGCTGCAGGTGCTAAACGTTGTCACTCCCCCTCCTGCTCAGGTGCAGTTTTGCTCTTTCTGGATCTTTCCGGGTCTTTAAAGGAGCTCCGACCTCAGATCAACCTCAGATCGCTGCTGTCATTGGCTCAGAGCTCTTTGTTTACAAATAGGGGCGTGGCCTGATGGCTCTGATGTGGGAACTTTGTGACAGAAAATAAAGAAACAGCGAGCGTGTTTCACTTCCTGCACGCTCCGTTACCGCGGACGCCCCGAGTCATTCCTGGGACCGGTCCCATTATCTCCGGCCTCTGATTGGCCGCTGACGCAGAGCCGGAGCTTCAAATATTTAAACTATGAAACCCAAAATAATCAGCCGCTGCCGCTGTGCTGCCAAAGCCAACAGAGGACCCGTTTTTCTCCTCTAATGATGTTGTTGGAGGATTTCTGCTGCGCCGTCGCAGCTCTTTACATCCTCGTCCAATTTTCTGCCAGATTCTGCTCCTCTTCATCCCGAGCCGGCCGGAGCGCGGCTTTAAAGTTTTATCTGAAGTTTGAGTCTGAGGCGTTCACACCAGATCACCTCCAGATGTGAGCTCAGCACTCGCTCCAAACTCTGATTTCTTCTTCGTGTCTCATATTTGAGTCTGAACCTTTAAGAACGATCACATGATCAGGGCGAGCTGTTCACCTGAGGTCATAAAGGTTTGACCCCTGACCCTGTTTCTTGCTAACAGCAGCACAGGAACCAGAAGCAAAGAGCACTTCCTGTTCTGTGATCATGATAAAGGCGAATCAGAGCTCACCTCCCCTGGATTTCAAACAGGAAGTAATGATTTGATTGGCCAGCTAAGTTCAGTAATGTTTCCACCAATCACAAACAGACTGAAGCCTCATTGGCTGATTGTTCTAACAAACTGAAACTGAAAACAGGAAGTGTGACGGGAGGTTGAAACAGACTGAAGGTGGCGCTGTTGGAGCTGCAACCTGTCAGAGACCGTAAACCAGGTCGGAGCAAAATGAAGCACAAACGCGTTTTTGTTTCTTCTTCGTTGGTTTTAACAGGGTTTGACTTCTGACCCTGAAGGCTCGAGTGTTTGAACGCTGCGTTTTGATAATGGTGCCGACGGGGTTAAAGGTCACCTGTGAGCATGTGTTGTTGCGATGGCATGAGTGAAGAGGAAGTGCAGACGTACCGATAGGCAGAGCGAGGAAGAAGGGCAGCCAGCACAGGATGAACATGCCCACCACCACACCCAGCGTCTTGGCTGCTTTCTTCTCTCGGGAGAACTTAAGCAGTTTGACGGCGAGTGAGCTGCGTCCGGTCGAGGCCCCGCCCCCGCTGGCCTTGGAGGCGGGGCACAGCTCCTGGATCTGCTGGTTCCTGCAGTGGATCCTCAGCGTGAGCTCGCTGGAGTCCTCCGCACGCTCCTTCATCATGCCGGCCTCCAGGTTCTTGGTGGTGCGCTTGGCAACGATGTAGACGCGGCAGTACATGGCGAGGATGACGGCGAGCGGGATGTAGAAGGAGCCGAGGGACGAGAAGAGGGCGTAGAACGGCTCCTCGGTGATGAGGCACACGGTGTCGTCCTGCAGGAGGAAGCACAGGTCAGATGTGTAACCATGACATCACACCTGAACACTACACCTGCACCACGAGCTCCACCTGTGAGGCCTCTGAGACGGGCAGCAGAACGTCATCAGACACGTGTTTTTAAAAGAAATGTCAGCGAAATCATCCAGAAATCAAAGAAAAACGCTTAAAAATGTCAAATATCACAGGTTAGTCAGGGTCACAGGGGCGGAGCCTATCCCAGCTAACACAGGGCGAGATTTTTCCTGATTAATAATCCCTCCAGTCATTATGTATTCTTACTGGTCGAACCGGCGACCTTCCGGTTACAGATGCACTTCCCAACCCCCTGAGCCACGGTCGCCCCCTAAATTGAGATGAGATTAGATTAGATGATGAGCCTTAACGATGTGTGAAGTTTGTGGGCATGTGCACAGCGACCGAACACAGTTTAGCATTAAAGACAAGAAATGTAGGAAATGAGCATTACAGGGGAAGAGCTAGCTACAGCAGTCACGCTGGATGCTGTTAGCTGCTGTTAGCTGCTGTTAGTCACGCGTCTTTACAGGTTATCACGATAAATGAATCTCAGTGAAACAAAATGATTTATATTGTGAGTCTGCCCCGACTCTGCGTTACTTCTGAAGTATTTGATGGTTCGTGAACTGGACGTCGCTGACTGCACAGCGTGAAGCTACGTTAAACATGCTTCGTGTTTTTAGATGAAACATTATGAACACATTATGCTTTTGAGTGATTTTAATCAGGGAAATATAAACTGGTTCTGACGGCTCCGCTGCTGCTTTGACAGAATGATGTATATTTTTATATAAATACTCAGAAAAATAAATAAATGAATACTGAGATGTGATCATGTGACCCTCGTCGTTTAGATTTGTTGTTTTTAATCTTTCTCATCAATAAAACTGGGGAAATAAAAGCTGCTCATTTCCTTCTACATCAGGCAAGTCGCCCCCTGCTGGACGTGAGACAGAACATGTTTTTAAGACATGCTTTCAGTCTGTGGGTTCATGTCTGTGGTGCATGCTGGGTAATTTGCCGTACCTGTGATGGCGGCTGCTTCCAGCCAAGGAGCGGGCCAATGGAGATGATGATGGCGAGGATCCAGACACCCAGCATGGCGAGCAGCGCCCGCCGCTCTGTGACGATAGTCGGGTACTGCAGTGGGTAGCGAACTCCGATGTAGCGGTCGATGGAGATGACGCAGAGGGACATGATGGACGCCGTGCAGCACAGGACGTCCACCGCCGCCCAGATATCGCAGAAGATCCGACCAAACACCCAATAATCCAAAACCTGCAGACAGGAAGTCCAATTCAGGTCAGAGTTTAATCGATATGATTACCTTTACATCAGCATTTTACAGCCAAACTCAGAGGTCAGAGGTTATAGTGATAACCTGCATCTTGATTTAAATCCCTGTGTATGCTCAGCCTGTCTGGGCGCTGTCCCCGATACTTTGACAACTGCACACGCTTCGTTCTCTTCAACACGGACACTTTTACTATCATCATGCAGTGCTTGAGGCCACCTGCAGGGGGCAGCATGTGGAGGAGACCGGCTGAGCTCAGCGAGCGGTGAGAAACGGCCAGTAAACCAGTAAACTCTACAGTACAACAGCAAAGTTCAGTGGAATAAAACTGAGATTAAACAGGCAACGATTCAAACTGGAGCATCAGTGAGGCCTCCAGCACCGACCTGCAGACGAAGGCTGCGTCCTGTTTAGCCACAAACTTCCTCATAAATCAATGCAAATTCAATTTAACCCAATCCAGAGCTCAGAGTCTGAGGAAACCATCAGAGGTCATCAAAGATCAGGGAAATTCAGCATCTTTAAAGCGAGTTCCCAATAAACCTGCACATTTATTGCAGCTGTTATGTTTTAGTATCACCTAAAACCTGCAGTGTAAACTCCGCATGTACCTGAACCTCTGACTTTGCTCTGACTTTGCTCTTTTCCCTGGGAACGTTGTTCTTCCAGCATTAGGATCAGGACATCTCTCTCTTATCGTCTCTGCCTTATGCAACGCTCGGATTGAGCCGGTTTATTTAGAGCGCGCTCACACAAGCGTCCATGTTCCACGTCCGAGCATCATCGCTCTGCTTCACCTCTGATCGTTCACAGGTCGAAGGCTCGGCAGGGTTTGGATCAATACATTAATATTTGGCAGTGAAACAAATCCTAGTCCGAGTGCACGCCTGCATGTTTCATGCTTAAGTCGCTCAGACAGAATCAACACATGTCAAAAATAACAGAGAAATACTCAGATTACTGCAAACACGAGGAAAACTGCGCCACGCTCAGTCTTTTGTCTGGTGAGACAGCCATCCTTTCTTTACAGGCTTTAATCCATCTAATCAATACAGATATATATAAATAAAATATATATTATATATCTGAGCCAACTGGACGAGCACTTTCTTCCGTTTCCAGATCTGCTTCCTTCCTTCCTTAAATCTTCACCTTCACTCTGTCCTTTTCTAGTTTCCTTTCCTTATTTTCACGTCAGACTCTGATTTTTATGATTTTGGTATTTTTGGATTCATTTTTCTGATAAATCCTCATAAATCTCTGCGCGCTGTGCAGGATCCTGACTCCGAGCACACTTCACGTGTTTTCCTGATAAATGCAGTGAAACAGTCGCCCCGCTGCTCCTCTTCCTCGCTGTTTGAACTTCGCTGATGTGAAAACAGAAACCGTTGATGAGTGATCGATAAGTGATTGATGAGTGAT